GAAAAAAAATAATAGGGATTAAGATTTTAAATTGTGACCATGATCAGTTTTATTGTCCATAAATGTGATATATTTATAAAATATTCTTTGTTACATCAATTTAAATTAATATATATTTATAAAGTGTATTGATAATGGCATTGAGTTATTATAAAAATAATTAAATTTTTCTTAAATGTGCAATATAAGGATTAATGTAGGTTATTTTTTTTTCAAAGATACAAATCTATTAATTTATAAATTAGTATATAATGTTTGAAAAAATATTTTAATGGAATAAAATTGAATTATAAAAATTAAGACACAATAGTAAAAATCAAGAAATTTCAATTGAAAAAATATCAATTCAAGATTTCAATTCTTATGATAAAACTATCACACTTCAATATAAAATAAGAATTTAAGAATCTTCTCATCAATACAAATTTAAATTGAATATAGATCTAAATCTTGACCCAAGAATTTTACAAAAATAAAATTAACAATTGCATATCCTAATTTTAGAAATTCAAGAACGGTAAATGTATTTATTTATACAAAATTAATTAATTACCTAATCATCATTTAGATTGGATTAATAAATTCTATTCTAATTCAAATCTAGATCCAAAAATATCATTCATAATCACAAATTATGAAATTAAATCTACAAAGAAGATAAAGAATTCATACAAAAAAATCTAAAACTCAAATTTTATAACAAATCTTAAAACCTTGAATTGATAAGCGGATTAGTCAAGTATCTTCATCAAGATATTAGCAAGAACAATTGGAGAGAAATTTGTGAAAGAGAAAGAAAGAGAGAGAATTTAGAAAAACTTGTAAAATAAATAAATATAAAATCTAAAAAATGAGGATAAAGTGTACATCAAGTTACTAACACTTATTTATAGACACCTAAATTAATGGGCCTAAATCAAATTAATTAAAAACCTAGCCCACTAATTACAAGTCCAAACTTTTATTAAATTTTGTTCTTAATGATAATTTTTGCTTAAGTGCAAAAACAAAAGTTTAAAATGCATTTTTGAATATCAAAACGTTTGAATTAACTTTAACTCGTGAAATTCACTTTTGTAGATCTTTGTCTTAACTTTTTCGTAGACATCAAGAACATTCAATTTTTGAGTTCTTAAACTCAAGATATGGTCTACACACAAGACAAAATGTCAAAGTTGGAAAAATTTTCAAAATTAATTAGAATTTAAAGTTAAAACTAATAAAATCCATTAAAATTAATGACAACCAAGTTAACAATTTAAGACACTCATAAAAGTTAAATTAACCTAATATAATGCATAAAAAATATATTTCATTGTGTATTACACGTTATTTTTAATCTATATAATAAAATATTATGAAAATTTTAAATTTTGTAAGAATTTATAAATTTGATTTATTTCTTAAAACTTTTATTTTAATAGTTAAAATATTAAAATTTAATATATATCATAAATTATTGAATTTATAATTTATATAATATCTTATTTTATTTTAATTTTTAATTAAAGATAATAATATGCCACTTAATGATATACCGCAAAGATGTGTGTAAATTTGGTAGCTATATCATATTTTTGTAACAGAATTTGATCAACAAGACTCAAAATGGAATGTTTGAACTTTCATGGATGAATTTTTTCAATAAAAAAATAGGAAAAAAATTTTTAAGATTCAAATAATTTGAAGTCCATTAAATTTTAAGTTAAATTTAGTACATGTTTAATTTTACATTTATAATCTATGTTTAAAAATCACATTAAAATCAATATAAAAGGCATTAATTGTTGCTTCTATTAATCTTCATTCAACTAAAATTGATGTAAATTTAAACATGCATTTAGTATTAATGTAAAAGAGGAGATAAATTCTTAGATTTTTAGTTTTTACATATTTCAAAGAATACCCATACCTTTTTTGAGTAGACTAACAAATTAATAATAAATACATAAATAAAATTGACTATATGACTTATTGTTTATCATGATGTTATCTTTTATTTGCTAACTATAAGAAAATTGTAATATAATAACACATTTTATAGTAATATAATATATGTTACTAAAAATTACTTTTATTCACATAATAAATATAATATATATTAATGTATTGTTAAAAAGTGTGGATACACTACAACAAAATTTGTTATTAATGACAATTATTTAGTGACAATAATTTAATTGCAGACATATATGAAATTAATGGCTAATATATAATAGCTACTAAAAATGTATTTATATTATACTAAAGTTTACTATTAGCAACAATTATTTATTAGAAAAAATTTAAGTCCCACATTCATTCACTATTCTAAATTGGTATCAAATCACCCATTATTACCAAATTCAATAATGTTATAAAATAATTAAAGAACAATTTTCACCTTATAAATCAGTAGAGATAAAAAAAAGTATATAAGTTATGAATTTAGAAAAGGAAATTATAGGAATAAATTATTTAAAGTAAATGAGACAATTGAAAAAAATAACTTTTAATAGCCTTTAAAATAGTTACTAGAATTGCCACTAAAAAAATAAGTTTTTATGACAATTTAGTAGATCTTTACCAGCATTTTATATAAATGCCGATAATAGTATTATCGACACTGGATACACCAACCTTTATTTAAATGCTGGTAAAAAAAATAATGGTCATTTATATGGTCGTTAAATAATAAATTAATTATCACAAAAAAATTAATTTTGGTGTAGTGATATAGACTAAAATGACACATAAAATATATTATTAAATCTAATTCAAAATCAATACTAAAATACTTATATATATTGTACGTGAAACTTTTTATATGTCATTATATGTAATATTTCTTGATATTATTTCTAACAATGTTTAACATTAAATTCTAAAATGAATTGAACTAAATCTATGTCAAGATATAATTTCTTACGATTATAATATTTAAAACACCATTAAAATCAAACTTTAAATAATTTATTATGTAATGTTAACATAAATATTTATTTTTAGTATTTTATTCTATTTTATCATTATGATATTAATTTGAAGTATTTATCAACTTAATTACTGAGTAATTTTTTCAAAAAATCTGACAGATTATCTTTAGTATCTTTTCTCATGAGCAATTTTTTTTCACCATAAAACTCAAATTTAACTCCATTCTATTCACATCAAAGACTTTTTAGTTATTACTATTTCAGTATAAAAAAACAATATTATACCTTCTTCTATATCCTCTCCTCTCAAAATAAAAGATACCAAAAACAAGGACGGAAAATTCTTCTCCCCACATGCCTCTTAAGATGTGAACTTCAGGCAGAAGTAGAATTGTTTTGAAATTGTAGTTTGGTATAAAGTGGGGGCACTATCAACTCCCCAAATCAATTTCCTTTTAAATTTTATCATGCATATGAGTAGCCATAAATCTAGCATCCACTTGACTTAAAATTTTCCAATCCTGCCTCTCACTTCTGCCATTATAAGTGGATGTTTCTATATTTTACCAAAAGCTATATTTTTTTCCTACCTACCATTTCTCTTAAGCTTACTACTATATGAAAACACTAAATATATAAACATTACATTAGTTTTGCTAATTAAAGAATTTTACATACTTATTATCCTTTTATTTTAAAATTATGTTTCTTGATGGTAACGATTTAACCTATATTATCAGAGCAAGAGATAGAATTATAAGAACTACAGTGAGAATAGTTGAGAAGTAAAAGACAATTAAATAACATCACGTGATAGTACTAAATTAAATAGCAGGCAGTGAAACTGTGAAAGAATCAAAGGACGAACAAAGTCATCCATTTCATGGGAATTCAAAATTCAAATTTACTAACATTAAGGTTGTTTCAGATAGCATACAATAACCAATAAATGCTGCACAATTATTTGTGTCTCTATCACAGAAAACACTCTCTTCCTTGCCTGCTCGGCCTGCAAGCATAGACCAAACCGCCCAAGGCTACAATACTTTTCACTTTTCAAATACACCATTTGTAATTTTCTTTTAATCATTTTTACTTTTGACTGGTAAATTAATTAGTTTGTTTTGTGAATTTTATTTCCTCTCGAAACCAAAATAATTGCCTTTTAAATCCAAGAAAGCAACCTGTCAAACGGTTTAAAAGACAGTACACTAGATTCAAACATCTTAATTAATAAAATACAACCCGTCACGTTGTTAATGTTCAATTAATAATTTAAGACTTCTGGACTTAACCTTTTGGCAATTGTAACAGCTATTAAAACATTAATACATTAATTTCTTCACGCAAGCCTCTGATTTAGGCATGTTTTGCTATAATTTAGTTTTCATCGGTGGATGGTCCCAATCAAAGTCAAAAAAGTTGCTCATTAATTTTATATAAACAAGAAAACGATAGAAAAGAAATTATGCTAATTGGTATAATTTTCTTTTACAGATTTAACTTAAAAAATGTTAACAGAACATGAAACTAGAAAATTATAAATGTTCATTTTACATGTATATACTATTTTTTGCTGTTAAATTTGCTTTGTACAAATTTAGTTGAGACATGTATTTTTTTTAGGAATGATAATTATGTTTAATCTGAACAATAACTTTTTTTTCTTCTTATAAATAATAAAATTTATTCTCTAAACATTCAATGCAGTTATATATAGTGTTCAAAATTAAAACTACTTTTGTACACTTAAATAATGTTCTACTTATTGATTCATTTAACATAGTAAATTTGGTTCAGCCATTAAAAAAAATGAAGTATATAATCTCTTGAGTTCAATATTTTATACATACCAACAGATAAAAAAGTTACTATAAAGATAACTTTTAAAGGTAATTTTTGTAAGTGATTAATGACAGGATTTTCTTTTTTTCTTTAAACTCTTTTACATTGAACAAAAAGATACATAAAGTTTCTTTAACTATTACCGTCGGTTACTCAGTGCGACAACAAAAAGTGAGTGTACTTGTAGGTGGATATTTAATTGTTCATTTATTTATAACTCTTAGACAGTGACTTCAAAATCAAAACAACTTGTGTGAGGTGTGAGCAAGATTCCATTCCCTCTTTAGTTTTGAAATGCACAAGTACATTTGTTTTTGAACCTGCACTGCACATTCCACAACAAGGATTTCATCTTCCACACTCCCCTTTTCCCTGTTCATTGGAAAACAACCTCATCACTCAACTTTTGGGGTCTGATCTGAGATGGGGTCTTGCTGTGCTGAAAGTGCAGATAACATGCAAGTGACAATGGCTCCTGAAAAGGACCACATATCGAGGTGTGTTTCTCTTCTCTCCCTCTTTCCATATCCATCTCTCTCATGTTGCATTGTGAATTGGAATGAATGACATTGTTCAATGTGTCATTTCAGCTGCAAGAAAGTGGAATCAGATGAGGCTCTCAACACTGTGGGGTGCCTCAGAGGGAGATTACTGAAAGAGAGACAGGCTTCAAGGGAAGCCAAGATGGAAGTAGAATCAATGGGAAACAAGGTAACATAACATATGATAACATCTTTGATCTAACAATAGTGTCAATCTTGAATAATTCTTTCATTCACTTTTATGTGCCACTGTTTGGATCATCACTGTAAAGGAAAGAAAATGACATTGCTGTTCTGTTTGTGTGGCTTTTTGTCTGACAAACATTATACTGTGTTTCCATTTCTCTCTCCCTAAATAAAAATGGGATTTTTTTTCAGTTGGTTGAGTTGGAAAAATTGCTTAGAGAAGAGACCAAATTAAGAGATAAAGCTGAAAGAAGGCTTAAATTTTTGAAGAAAAAGCTTGAATCTTTCAACATGCCCTCCAAGTCAGGGCAATTGGAGCATTCTGATTCGTCAGAGAAATGTGAAAATTCTTGCGAACATTCCGAAGCAAATGAAATAAAGCATGATGCGAAAATTCTAGCTTTGCCTGAAAATGTAGATCACAGTGATAATGTTTCAGAAGCCTCTACCATCATTCAGACCCATAATAGTCCTTCCAGTACAAAAGATTGTGATTCTCAGAATGCTGATAATTTCAGTAGCAGTAATTCAGACATGTGTTGTACTTCCCAACAAATTCTGAACCAGAATCTGAATCCGAGCTCTCTGAATTTGAAGAATGATGAAAGCAGGTATTAAATTTGAACATGTTGGTGAAGATATTTAGATGGGAATTTGCTTAGGAGCAATTATAACGGTAGATTGAAAAATTAATGATTGAGATAGTCATATATTAAAATTTTAATTGTTACGCAAAATAAAGAGTTTTACCTTTGATAGATAGAAATTATCTTTATATAATTTTTATGATAATTATTATAGCTTAATTTATATACATTGTCGGTGAAATTTTTTTACACATTCATCTAATTAGAAATATCATTAATATAACTTTTTAAAATAGTTATTATAAAAGTCATTGAATAAGCAATTTGTTATTATATAATCTTTTACACTCTTGGCGCATACAGAGATAGTTGTTAACTGTAATTATTATAGAACCCTTTACATTTGCATACACTATTATAAAAGTTACATTGTCAGGGTAAGAATCGCATAATCCTTTACATTTGCTTGCATTATTTACTTTAATTATTATAAAAAGTAGTAACCATATAATATATATTCATTTATAATTGGATAACAGTATATTTATACTTTCGTACATATAAATTATTTTCTTAGGAGACAAATTATGAAGTTGTTAACTGTTGTAAGTGTGATTTATCTTCTGAAGTATTTTCTCTTAATTAAGGAGAAAATTTCTATCAGATGAATAGTTGGTGCTTTAAAATTGTATTTGTTTGAGCAAGACTCTTATTTTGGATTTTGGGACTAAGTTTCAGGCTTTCCAGCTCAAGCCCAAGATCATCAGTGACAGAGAATGAGAGTGATCATGCAGATTTCTGTGATAATTCTCTGGCATTAGTTCCTGTGACCGTGACATCTGCATCACATGCCACCAGTAATCCCAAACCAATTAACGTGAGTGTCCTTGAGGCTCTAGAAGCATTGAGGCACGCCAGAGAAAGGCTTCAAAGTTCAATGAGAACAAGACAAATGATTCATGTTGGCCCAATTTAAGCTCCAACACTGAGATAGTAATAATGCTAAATTATTGCTATGTTTATTATGTATTATAGACAGTGAGATTATTATTATTTAGCATGCAAATATGCGGGAATATCATAAACGTTAATTGAGGTCCTAAAATTAATAAGATTGGTAGCAGAGTGGTAAAATTCTTGTGAATTGTGGTTTCAGTCACCACAGAAAGCATGTGACGTGGGGATGTGCTGTCATCTCCTTTGGGGTCCAACTCTTCTGTCCATATTCTTTTCTTGTGCTTTTTTATTTTTTTCATATGCTTTTGGTGACTTTTAATGTGGTCACCCCTTGATTCCTGTGACTTGCATCGACATTATTATACTTGGGCTTAATGGCTTATGGCTTATGGCTTATGAGAAGGACAAGGCTTATCCTCAACCAAGAGTACCACTGTAATGTAACTCGGCAATTTTGTCATCTGTTACTATTTTCTCATATATATCAGCTAATTTCAGAAATGAAACATCGTGATTTTATATGTCTTGAGTGCAAATATACAATAAAAGAATAGTTTCAAGGAATTGTTTTATTGGTAACTGGTATTGCAAAAATAAGTCGGTTAAAGTGATGTACAATAATATACTTACCATTCAAAGAATTTAATGAATGATGATGCTGCTGGTATTTTTTTTTATAATTATATTATTGATACGGGTAAGAAAAATGTACTCCATATTTGTACCGTATTAAAAAAAAATATTTTTATAAGCGGTTATTGTAATTTTATAATAAAATAGAAAAAAAATACTTGTAGAAAAAAGTAATTTTAGAAAGTTATAGAATATAAACAAAGAATAAAATGATTTATATAAAAAGTACTCCATATTTGTACCGTATTAAAAAATATATATTTTTATTAGTGGTTATAGTAGTTTCAGAATAAGATAGGAATTTTTTTTGAAAAAATAAGAAGTTATTTGTAAAAAAAATAGTTTTAAAGAGTTATAGAATATAAACAAATGATAAAATGATTATGAAAATCAAAAATAATTATTTAAAAAAGTATTTTTTTTATATATTAATATAGATGAAATATTTGTTGACTTAATCAATACTTAATTTTGGTTAGAAATTTGATTAATCATATTTAATAAAAAAAAATTAATAACATTATTTCTATCTATAAGATTTGAATTTAAGAGTTACAAAGTAGAAAGAAGAGTCAAGAAATGTAAGAAAGTTACTATACTTTCATAATTTAGGAGTGTTGAAGATTCGATAAATATTTGTGAAGAAAATCACATAGATCCACCAAAAAAACCTTTCCACTATCAAGAAAGAATGTCACATGTAACATAATCGACTATGTTCGAAGATGTAATATTAAGTTATGTTATTTTTTTAATATAAATAATATTTTTAAAAAGTAATTAAATAATAATATAATGATGAAATAAAGTGAAATAATAATATAAAAAAATAAATATTTATTTATTATTTTTATATTAAATAATCTTTCTAACCTTCCTTCTACTTTTTTGTACTTCTTTCTTATCAAAAAAGTTTAATTTTCACTCTCTTATCTTCTTACTTATACTTCCTTACCTTTTTCTTCTCTTTACTTCTTTCTTTTTATTTCTTTTCACTTTATATCAATCTCCTTACACCACTAAGCACTTGCTGGTTGCAGCGTGCCAGTATAAAGACTGAAAATAATAAGCAACAAAATTAAAACTAAATATTGGTTTAATTCTCTATTGTTTTGTTGAGTTGCTATTATTTGGTTGGCATAGCTATCAAATTTTGAATAATGTTACATCTTAAAGGGATTTACAAAGCACAGAAAATCCACTTGGTCCCGTGTGTTTCCCTCTTGGATTTGAGTAAATGCCGTTGTCATTGTCAAATGTATAAGTAACACTGATTATGTTATGTGTTGATGTTGTAACAATTTAAGATGTTGTTTGTTTGCTTCTCATGTAACGCGTCAAAAAGAGTGTGTTCCATTTGTCTGATGAAAGTAAAAAAGAAGGTGCTACTGCTAAGAGGCTTCGTCATTCTCTTTTCAGAGAAGCAAAGGGACCTATCAATATTCAACATAACCTTTCTTCGTTAATGGATTTGAATCCAGATAAGAAGGTAACATGTGACCAACAAATACTTTTACTTTATAATTAATTTTTCCTTTTTCATACTTTTTTTTTTTTAATTACATAAACAGAAAAAGAATACAAAAAGTGAGTGACTTGAATTCCAACACTTGTTGATCAATCACGAAACTCATCTGCGGTCTCCAATCCAAGAGATTAGCATGATGAAAACTTCAGGTGATTAAACTCTTCAATTTAATATCTTCGTAAGTTGGTTCAGTGGTCACACACTATCCACTTATACGTTGCAAGAATGATTTATAAAATTAAAACTTCATTATTTTGATATTACTATATATTTCATGTTGTTAAGGACAAAGTGAATAACATTTTCTATAGTTAGAAATTAAAATGAAGATTTTGAAAAGTTAAAAATTATAGCGATTCAATCACATATATAATTTTAAAAATTAAAATGATATTTATTTTAAAATTTGCATGACGTAATTCATGTAAAACATTTACAATATAATGTTATATTTGGATTATAAATTATGATTTAGTTGATTTTATAAAGTTAAAAATTATAGCGATTCAATCATACTTACAATTTTAAAAACTAAAATGATATTCACTTTAAAACTTGCAGGAACTAATTCATGTCAAACATTATATATGGTATTTTGTATTATAAGTTATTATTTATTTAATTGAATAAGTAATTTCGTTTTAATTTTATTTAAATAATGGTTTGAGACTTCAAAATGTGTTCGAACAAAACTTATGATAACCAACAATATTAGTTAATATAAAAAATAACGACTTGTATCTTTAATCAAGTTGTTTATGATTTAAATTATAATTTTAAGAATAAAATATAATATATTAAAAGGAGAATATATATTTTGTGTGCGTTCATAATCTTTAATGGAGATTAATCACTCATTTTAACATTTAATATGTCATATCAATACAATAGTTAAAAAAGTTATGTAGGATTTTTTTTTTCAAAAAAAAATTAAATTAAAATTTTCAAACTATAAGAGTCGGTGTGCATAAATTCGAGTCCAAACATATACTAATAACATGTTTGATTTATTGTTGAATTTTTGTTTGATTTATTGTTGAATTTTGTTAAATGAAGTAAATACACATTCTAAAGCACCAAACTGATAAGTAATATTTTTTATCTTTTTTGTTGAACGTGATTTTATGGGTTTCGGATGGTAAACTAAACACACACTAAAAGAATTGAAAATAAACTCACAATTTATATGTTTATAATTTGTTTTGAATTCTTTGACTAGGCAAATTTCACTGTTTTATCTTATAAGTTTAGAAAAGAAGAAGTCTCGATCGTTCCGTTGTTCAAACATTCCGCAAATACCAGCAAGACTTCATAATAATACTAATTATGAAGCAGCATCCTCAAAATCTTGGGTTGTATTTATATTAAGGATGAAATAGGGAGGGCTAAGTGGGATGTACTTTTAGAAAAAATAATGACAAAATACACCTATATATATATATATATTATAAGTTGTGAAAAGTTAATTTTAAAGAAAACAATCGTTTATTTTTTAATTTGAAAAATAATAATAATTTCTTTAAATTGAATTAAATTAAAAACACAGTTATTTGGTCATAAATGTATAATGCATAAATGTGATATACTAGTGGGTAGTGCAGGTGGGACATGTAACATTGAAATTGCGTAAATATCAGGACACCAAAAATGAACTAAAAATGATGAAATACATAGAGAAAATGAAAGAAACATGATAACTTTACAGTCATAGGAAATGACCTGTGGCTGTGGGTGAGGGACGCGTGTTCTAATTATCATTAGGGGCAGCGTCTCTTATATTGTGACTTGTGAAGGGGAGTTGGCCTACCAATTATTTTCAGACCTCATTATCATGCATCTAATTATTTAAGTTTCCATTCTCATTTTTGAGATAGCTGTTCAAAAATCAATTAATGAACAATTTTTGGTTTCTGCTAGCTCAATTTACTTAATTTTAAAGATTTTGATCTTGTACTAGTACACTTGTATTGTTGTTGCAAATAAGAGTCGTGTTTTAACATTACTATTAAAATACATACATATAAGTTGCTCCACATATCTCATGAGATGACAATCCAATAAAAGAGGAGGGTGGGGGGGCGCTTAAAGCTTATGTACAATCGTCACCTTATACAAGATAAGATATATGTTTTTATTTAAATATGTTTCTAGATTCTAATTTTATTCAAATTTCACTTTTAATTTTTAAATAAAATTTTGATTGATGTTATTTTAATTTGCCTCTCTTGTCATCAGGCAGTGGCAGATGCACGGGTAAGTGAATGGAGGCAATTGTTCTCACAAGAAATTATTTTTTATTGGTATATATTTAATAAAGAAATCTCTCCTCATAAAATTAAATTAAATAATAAAGAATTGAGAAATTGAAAGATATATATTACATACCATTTTTTTCATAAAAATATGATATAACTTGCATCACTAAAGAATAATGATATTTCAACAATGTTGATATTTCAAGATCTAACAATCATTTACGACATATTAATATATATATATATATAAAGAAGAAAAAAAACAAAAGGAAAATAATACAAGGGACTATATCAAAACTCATAAACAATAATTAACAAAACCTAAAAAATGGAACATCACAACAATTATGAAAAGTTCATCATTAGAAAACTTAGGAAGAGAATCCCACCACTTATATACTAGCATGTGATGAAGCCCATAACTAGCTACTTTATTTGCACTAGAATTTCCTTCTCAATAAATGTGAGATGCAAAAATATACATAATAGAATAAAGATGACAACACCTATTTCGAATTTCCTAAGGAACTAAAGACGCATCCTTAAGAGTTGATAAAATAAGGATATAATCACTTTCCAATCAAAGATTATACCAACCCATCTCATGAATTTTTTCAATGGTCAAAATAATAGTCATTAGCTCAACAAAAAAAATAGATTTATTACTTATTTATTGTCTAATAGTTTAACAGATACATATATTGAAAAAAAATTTCTCCATAAATTTTAGACTAAGAAACTGATCTATGGAAGAAATCAAGACGATGTTATGTATAGAGAAGGATGAAAAATTGTTAAGATACAACTTAGGTATTATTCCTTATGATCGATTAGTATTGTTCTTTAATTACAATTAGAAATTTATTTTAGTAATATGCATAAATGTATATTAATGAGATATGTATTACATGTAAACTATATTGTCAAAATAAATCTTCAATTCTAATTAAAAAATAACACCAATTATACTTAAAAAATTATATTTAAATTTTATTTTATTAGTTGTCAATTTACTGTAGTGAGAGAAATGGTGCATGATGTGAAATGTCAAGGGTATAATAGAAATAAAATATATTAATTCATTGAAGAAGAAA